CTTTGGAAGAGAGAATCTTCTGCAGCTGACATAGAATAATTAAAGGAAGTGCAGTTATCACACCTGAGGTCTTGCTTCATCGTGGAGGCGTTTTAACATGTGGATCTTGGAATTACAAATTGGAAACAGATTAAAATTCCCTGAAAAACCTCGGGCTCAGCTTCCATCACCCAGTGCGTTAGGCACTGGATTGCTTTCTGCAGTGCTCACTGTCAGGACCAGAGCATCCATGGAAGGCTGCTGCTTGCAGTGCACATTCAGTGTGTGAGTGCTGAACTTGGGCCCCAGCTGTCCCCACTTCGGGTGATTGGTGGAGAGCTAATTGAAGAAGCCCTCTGCCACCTGTGGGGACCTGGGTCCTCCGCAGTGGTGTCGACCGTGGAGAGGGACTCTCGCTCCAGGCAGACCACGATGTGACTGAGGCGACTCAGACGTCAGGGTCTCAGAAAGGGATTGCCAGACGTTTTCCAGAGGCAGCCTTTTTTAGGGATTCTCTTGTCTCTAAGCTAACTGTTTCACAACTTGGGGAGACGCACTGAGGGAAACGATGTTCATCTGAGGAGTCTTTCAGATTCACTAAACGTGATATTTTGAACACACATGTATAAAATACTTCCAGCGTAAGGAGAAAATCGGCACGTGTCACTTTAAAGATGGGCAGATGGACGGTACTAATGCCCATCTCCATAAATGGAGTTCCTGGCCACAGCAGTGTATGCGGCTAGTTAAATAGTCCCCCGTGTGTAAAGAAAGGCATGTGAATGACTGCGATCAGGTTTTACCTTCCAGGGCAGTGTCAGGGGAGGTAGAGGTTCTTTTGTATTCTGAGGGCCGAGGAGTGTTTGGATTTGTCGGGAGAGACAGTGAGTGTGCTCCTAGGATGCAGCTCTCCACGGGCACGCTGTCCTCTTGATGGTGAGCACTGTGCTGTGGTCAGCGTTTCCTGTGTGGTGTTGATGAGTGAACTTTTTATTTTATATCCTTAAATCAGCACTAGGGGGAAGGACGCATGTTTGATGTCGCTGTTGGTCTGTATGATGTGCTCTTAAAGCAGCGACCTTCCCTAATCTCTGCCCCTTGCTCAGTCTGGAGGGAAGAGGCAGGAGCAGATGGGCATTGAGCACATCTCGGTGGAAATCTCTTTTGTGCCACCAAGGACGGATCATGTGGTGTGCTGCCCCTGCTCTGCCCTCGGGGACAGTACCGCTGCCCCAGCCGAAGCCTGGGCCAGCCTCCACACCCGCTTCTAAGAGCTGCCTTTGGTGGAGGCTCTGCTTGGTCCCAGGCATGTGCTAAACAAGTCCATAGTCATTGCTCAGTGACGGATCTCAAGCTTCTTCTGGGTATTAAAGAGCTGGCTTTCCTGCAGTCGGACTTCTTTTAGACCTGGCCTGATTTCTGTCAGGCTGCACGGGTGTTCCATGGCACAGATCTGCTTCCATGATTTCGCTGTCCTCAAATCATCTCTCTCCCAACTGTCCCAGAAGATCACACACACCAGCCAAGTGAGAATCACGCGAACCAGGAAACGTGACAAATGGCTGGTGCCTCCTGTGCCCCTCCCACCACCCAGCACCTCCCCAGACCCCACTTGGCTGGTCTCCGTGTTGTACTGGTTGTTACCCAGTTTAAACAGCAACCCTTTGAGACCTGATACATTTTCTGAAAATGCTTTGAACGTACCAGTTATTTTTAGTTGTAGACTGTCCATTGAAGGAATACATGGTTATGACTGAGCACAAAGCGAGGGATTGACTAACGCCTCCTTGTTTTGCAGCTGACTGAATTGAATACCTTCTTCCTGAAACATATCTTTGTGTTCCAAGCCAGTCATCCGCTAAGTTGGTGTAGAATTCTCTTTATTGGCTGCATCACCGCTCCCACAGTGAGGTAATTCTGTGTTAGCCTGACTGTCATTGAGCATGTTAACTTGCTCTGTATTCTCCTGTTTAAGGGAAGTCACATAAACTAACAGATTTTCCATGAAAATATCATCTTAAAAAATTATACCTGCAGATAAATTGGGAGTTGGGGATTTGCAGATACTAACTACTATATATAACATAAACAACAAGGTCCTACTGTACAGCACAGGGAACTATATTCAATACCTTTAATAGCCTATAATGAAAAAGAATCTGAAAGGGAATGTATGTATATAACTAAGTCACTGTGCTGTACACCAGAAATTAGCACATTGTCACACAACTCTAATTCAATTTAAAAAAAATTATACCTCCAGAATATGAAGGAAATATTTTGCTTCTCAGACCTCAGTAACAGGAAGACCAGTACCACATAATTATTTTCAAAGCCCTTTATGATCTTCACTGCTGTCCTTCTTTCCCCTCGTAACATCCTGTTTAAAACAAAATGAGTAACAACAGATGGTGACTTTTTTTTTCAATGAGATTACAGAAAAATACAAAATTTTTTTATGGTAGATTGAAGTCATAAATGATGTTATTTTTAGAATGAGACTTTATTAGCTCTTTCAGAGGCAATAATTTAATTTCCTGTTTAAAATGTCCTTCCTGTAGTCCTCCAGGGCAGTGGGGATGCACTTGTGTGTTCGTGCCGTGGTCCCCATGCATTCGTGATTCATGTCAGGCCCTAGAGATGAGGCACTGTTCAGGGACTGTCCCTCACATGGACCCATCCCAGTGAACTTCAAAGCAGAACACTTTCATTTGTTTCCTTGTTTCTGTTTAGAAGTGGCATTTGGGTTTTATAAGTTTTTATTTATAAGTTTTTATTTGGGTTTTATAAATACGGAGTACCGGCATTGATCGGTAGAAACACCCACAGTTTCTGCACGGCTGATACATACACAGGCTAAGCAGTTGAAAGGGTTTACTTACTCTTCAGAAGCTGTAGGATAACTTAATTTGTCATTTCTAATGTGCTTGCGAGCTGTGCACGGAGAGGGTCTCATTTGCCAGGGAAAGTGGGCGTTTTCCTTGGGCAAAGCCCCCTCACCCCCAGCTAGAACCTCCTCTTGTCCTCATTCGCTATTACAAATATGTTACATTTATTACATATAATATATGTATGTGTGAATATATATATATAACAGGGAAATAACAGCTGGTAAACCACAGCTGTTCGGCACTTTATGAACCAGTGGTCTTTTGGAGTAGTTACCTCATGAATGCCGTTTTCCCCTTGGATTGGAGCCTCCCTACTGTATTTAACATTTGATTTAATTTGAGGCTTACAGTTATTTTCAGGAAAGATTATTAGCAGCAGTTCCCTCATAAAATTAGGAGCAATCAACAAAGTCAATAAACAGGGAAGGAAATCTCTCATGAAACCGGACAGCAGACCCCAGGTGATTTATCATGAAATTCCAATATTGTTAAATATTCAAAACAAAAACTAGAGACTAAAAATCCAGCATTTGGACTTTTTCAGAGCTCTTCAGAATTTATGCTAAACCTTATGGATTTCTACACAATCCTTTTTGTTTAGAAATTAGCCACTTTCTGTGTTCCCATACCTCTTGAGGCTGCTCCTCTGTAAGGAGATAATTTGACAAGCTTCTTAAAAAGATGAAAGTTCTCTGACAGGTTCCAGCACAGCCATGCTGGTTGGCAGACGCCAGGCCCTGAAAGGAGAGGCAGCCCCTGGGCTTCGGTATCGATGACACATACACACCACATCTCCGTTTTCCTCCTTTTTGGTTAGACTCTCACATGCCTCTGCTTTGAGAAGCTGTTTGAGTGAGCATTCTTTTAACTTAATGATACAATGTGTGACATAAGAGCATGGACACAGTTAGAGGTGAAATAGCTGAGCTGGCGAAAGCAAATTAGGTAATGAAAATGCAAAGTTAGAGGAAAAACCTGAGTTCTTTACAGCTAGAATTCTTCACTCGAGCCTTTGGGGTAAAGAGGCGATAGTTCATGGATGAACTTTAGGTGTCTATGAACCCCTGAAGCTTAATGCAAAATTTTGGATGCGTGTTTCATGTGACTATGTCATGGCTCTCATCAAACCCTCAGAGGAGTCTGACCACACATCCCCCCACCAGAATAAAAGCTCTAGGTTCAGATGCAGCCCTGCAGGGGTAGGTTGAGTTTCGGGGACAGGTGTGAGACTCCAAGCCTGCACTGTCCTACAGGCAGCCACCCTACGTGTGGCCCCTGAGCGCTGGGAGTGTGGCCAGTCACCCTGAAACGTGCTATATGTAGAATACACACCAGACCCTGAAGACTTAGTGCAGAAACAATATAAAGTACTTCTTTATAATGTTTTCAATATATTGGCTATATATATATATATATAAATAACAATTATTAAAATGAATTTCATCTGTTCCTTTTCACTTTTTTAACATGGTTGGTAGAAAAATTTAAATTGCATCTGTGGCTCATACTGTGTTTCTGCTGGGTGGCTTCTTTGCTAAGCCTTTCCACCCCATGTCATCACCTCCTTTCTGACCATGTCAGTAACATTCAAAGTCATTGGCCTCATAATGGGTGCAGCTGCAGTCCCATTCCAGTTTCTGAGCCAAAACTGTGAATATCTCTTGCCTAGTTACAGTCAGCAGCCTTTGTCCTGGAGAGAGCACAAGGAGACAGTTAATGACCGTGCAGGTGACCTTCTGGAATCATCTCCCTGGAGAGAGACTGAAGTACCCCCCTGAGGTGGCTTTGGCTCAAGGCTGTGGGCATGTGTGTCTGAATCAAGACCACCTTTGCCCATAACCTGGCTCTTTAAACTATGCTCCCCTCCCTCCAACCTGACCCGAGTTCTTAGCCTCATATGGGAATGTTTCCATAGGCACTGACTTCCTGTCCCCTTGAATAGAACTAGACGGGGCAGCTTGAGTATGTGGAACAAGGCAGACCTTTTTTTACAGTCACTCTGTCTGTGATTGAATTCTACACTGACTGGCTGGTCTTCCAGAAGCTCTCAGTGAATTCCACCTTTGTTCTTTCAGACAGTACTACGCTTACCTCACCGACACGCAGTGCAAACGCGTGGGAACCCAGTGCTGGGTGTTCGGGTGAGTAGTCTGTTGCTGTGGACGTTCTAAACTAATTTAGCCCCTGCATTGCATTGGTTATTTCTTGACCCTTTGCTACATTCAGTGTAATCTCCCTGTGAAGGCTTGATGTTTTTGTATGTCTCTCATTTTTCACATTCCTTTTCTGCTGTAAGTTTAGAGTAGTTAATT